TCTCTCTCTCTCTCTCTTTCCCATTCTCGCTGTCCTGCTTTTCTTCAATACTAAATGACCATCATCTTGTCGACATATTACGCTTCTCTTTACCTTAATTCAACCTCGCAAGAATAGCTATATACAGACCTATAGAGCGTGAATAAAAATCGTATATAGTGATGGGACAGTAGGGACAGTGCCGACTATTCCCCTTGTTGAAATGTCGCCGCTGATATGTTAACTCAACGTAAACTTTAAGGCAACTTACAATCACCGGCGTCTCTGGTGTAGTGGTTAGGCTCCTCACTGTCAAACACATGAGAGTGGAGTTCGATTACCGAGCGGGGACACAATTTTATTGAGTTCCTCGGTATTTCTGCTGGAATGTTGTATCCCTCTCAACCCGGTTTGTACCTGGCTGGCAGGTTCGGACACTTTGCGTCCCTATGATCTAAACTGTATTGATGGCAGCGACCCCCCCCAGTAGAAAGTGGAAAGATAGACAGCTAGTTATGTGACTATCTCTTTTGCTGCCATTAGACACCACTTGAAGCTCGCAGGTTTCATTGATACAATTTTTTTTCTCATTTTCTTACGAGAGACAGGACCTCATTTACTTGCAAACGTGACTTCACAATTTAAGTCCTTAGTGTTTTCAATGACTTCGAAATAATGAAAATCAAGTACAGTGAGCTGAAACTGTAATTACGAGCCCAGATGGTTGGGCGGCATGAAGTAACACGCCTCCCCCTCTTTCTCCCCTGTTTTCTTTCTCTTGTCCTGCTATATTTCCTAGATGGCCATTCAACCCAATAAAAGAAATTTTTGTTTTTTTTTGCTTGCTTTTTCGAAACTAACCCGTGTGAAAATTAATTTGATCGCTCTGAACCATCTGGAGTGAACTTATACAGTGGAACTCGGATTTAACGAGCTAGGATTCAACGAAAACTCGGATTCAACGAGAGAATATAGATTTCCCGTTTTTTTTCCCTTCTTTAAAATCAATACAAGTAACCCGGATTCAACGAGCACTTAAATCAGCCAGCTCGGATTCAACGAGGTCGCTTCCAGGGTGAACAGCCCCCGCAGACGTGACTTCGCTCATTTTTCTCCAAGAACAAACTTTATCTATTCCCAGAAACCATCCATTGCACCTGCATCATGAACCATTATTCACTTAGCCGATTGCATGCGACAAATCAGCGGCCTTTTAAAATACCTACACGTGTGTTGTTGGCACGCGTACGTGTCTACTCTGGCGTGTGTCGGGGTCGGATGGGGGGCCTGCACACGTGTGGCTGTGTGTGCGTGTCGGGGAGGGGG